ATTGTGCGTAAATATCGGCTTCTAGACAGAGTATGTAGTAACAAATTGACCCTCTAGGTGGCAGTGCCACTTTTGATGGGAGATGAGCATAGATTGTAGGCAAATAAAAAAACGCAATGGTTCGCTATGCGAAAAATGGCGCCGGTGAGACGCAAGTCCAGGAAGAACGGAATAAGGTAGAAACAATTTTTTTTTATCCTGATGAAAGAAGAGAGTCTACTCTTTCTTTTGGTGTGTTCGGTGTTTACATAGTCATAGCACAAACTATTCTGTGGCTCTTGAAAAATCAGTCAAAATGCTCAAAAAACTCTGGCAGTATGGGACTCTGTTCTGAAAATGGCTGCCAGTCAATGAGTTAATAACACTCAAAAACTGAAGCGTGCCTACAGAAGAACACCGGAGGGAAAATATATCTGGCAGTCTCTCACTTTGGCCTGAGGTGTGTTACTCGTTTGGGTTGGGACCGTGTGCCCGAGGGATTCTGGGAAAACACACGCAGTCCTTAATCAATTAAACACAGAGGTGTGGAGTATCACTGCCAGCCTTTTCTCTGGTGTGTGAGCCTCAGAAAGTTGACATTCACATGGGCCAAACCTCCTCGGCTGAGGCCGTTTCAGACACGTCCCCAACAGCAGCCGGGACTCGCTGGGAATCTGGAGGCAGCTCATGAATGATTGAGATCCCGGTGGTGTCGGGTGTGAGGGGGAATGGAAATCAAACAGAGTGGGGAGCATGCAAACATATTTTTTCCAAAAGTCCAAAAAGGTTAATAGAGAAATATAGTGATACAGCGCTGGGTTGGTCTGAGTTCAAGCTTTTAGAGGGGACATAAAAATGCCTTCCATGGTTCACAAAGAGAGAGAAAACAATTAGAATTGTTCATTTTTGTTAATAAAAATACAACTATAATAGCCAAACTCTGTAAAACAGGATCCAGATTATTCCATGAGCATGGATAATTTCTCGTTCTGAGAACTTTAGGAGGCTTGGACATAAAAAAATGTATTAAAAAAAATATTTGTAAAAATCTGATTGTAATGGCATGAAGAAAATAATTAAGAAAATCCTAATTATTTGATTTTTAAATATTAAAGAAAAAAATTTTTTAGGACACTTTTTAGTTAGACAATTCTTTATCAGAAATTAGGTGTCTGAGCATCAAATAATGCCGTAATGTTTCCGCTCTGCCTTTGTTTCTTTAAATAGGATCAGCTGTTAGTTTTTGTGCGTTTGATCACTCAACACAACCCTGTTACACAACACCTTTACAACTCCACTCATGCATTTCCCTTAGCTGTGCTATAAGAGGCATAATTACATGTGCGACTCCCATGCTTGATGCTTTCATCGATATGAAAATCGGTTGTTTTTCTGCGTCGTTACCCTTTTACGAGACGCATAAACAAACTCGGAGCTTGTGAGTGAGTGCGCACGTGGGTATAAAACATGTGTACACAAACAGATTTCCCCAGTGTGAGGAGATGAGAGGTGAGTACGGGATGTGACAGTGGCTCCCACACTGCTGGGCTTACGACCGACAACACCGGGGGGATCCGATGACAAGCTCCAGCCCACACATGCACACAATCACATGCACACAATCACATGCACAGCCTCTTGCAGCATGCGCGGGCTGGATTCGCCCTGTCTTTTTCCCCCCTAAAGCATGTCCCCTTCTGGCAGGCTGCAGAGTCCCATATGTTCCGCTGTTACGTTGTGGGAAAACTAGGACTAATTGGTTGGACCTTTGCACTTTTATCGCTGCCCCCGTAAACACAAGAACAACCACCGGTATAGCCAAACCACCCCCCCGCCCCCCAGATACAGCACGAGTACAGCCCTGATCCCAGCATTTAACCTTTGACCTGAAAGATGCACCTGCACAGGGAAAAATTATGATGAGAACGTTCGGGTGTGAGCATAGAGACGATATTTACCACAACTCAAGACTATATAAATCTGCATGTAAATGTGTCTTAAACTATTTAATGAATTAAGGAGGGAATAAATGTTTCATACCAGGAGATACAACATGTGTTATAGTGTCATCTACTCCAATAAAAAAAAAGAAATGGCATTTTTTTTTGTTTCAAAATGCCACTAGAACTATGGGGAAACACAAGCATTATGCATGCGATGTAAAAAGGTAATGGCGGAGTTCGTCTAAAATGTAGAACACTATGTTCACGTCTGACTGCCAGATTACCGGTTGAACTCGTTACTTGGCGCATGTAATGCGCTTTCCTGCCAGTCAATCTGTCAGTCACGCTGCTCTTATCAAGTCAATATCTCCCACACGCGTGTGAGGTGGAAGGCCGAATCCTAAAACCCCATCAAAACCAGTCAGAAAACAGACACCTGTAAAGTGGAATTAAAAGTGTTTTAAAAGTGTGATAATCTGCTCTCTTACCCTAAATATTCCACATGACAGAGAGACCCTTTTTTATTTTGCTTCTTGAGATATCTCAACTTTCAGGGCCCATTAAAAGCTCTCTGGACTATGACCTGATCAGCTGTGCAAAAATGCTAACACTCTGGCAATTAGCACTAAACATAAAGCCTGCATTCATCAAATTTTGAATAAAAATACCCTTAGAAATATTTACATTATCTGGCATTAAATGAAAAGACTAAGTTAAATAATGTGAGAAGATGGAAAACTAAACTAACAGAGACTAATGGTGACATATTCTTAAGTTTTTCTCAACCACATCTGTGTGTTTATTCCTTTAAATCAGTTAGGTCTGATTACTTTTATTATCGAGAGGATGAACAGGCCAAAAATGATATAACAAAGCGTTTTCATCTAAAATTAAATGAAAAATTAAACAGCGGCAGCTTTGGTGGGTTTTACTGAAATGTAAAAGATAAGTGAAAAAAAGGGTTATGACCATTTTGCTCCAACAACTTCAACTGGTTTATTTCATACGATACCAGTGTGATTTGTCCGTATTAAGACAAACTTGAACCTCTAAGGAATCAGAAAAATAAAAACATCCACCTGCATGTAGGCAGTAACAAAGAAGAGGAATGTTTTTCATGCTTGGAAAGGGTGGGGGCCACTTATGTATTTTAATACCGATGGCTTAACCTACATTTCAGTGAGCTGTTTTTCCCCACACACCTGTACACTAAAATTCCAAAAAGTCCAGAGATACCAGTTTCCGGAAAAAAAATTAAAAACATATAAATAACTCAACCGTCAGTTGTCGTGCTGTGTTTACGTCCCTTGAGACGGTTGGGAGGGAACAAAATGTTCACAAGGTGCGTAACCCACTGAACAGGAACCTGTAGGGCTATTCTGGAGCAGTGTGGACCCGCCCTGCTGGGCCCGGAGATATCATGGAAAACTCACCAGGAGGCGTTATCTCTTCTCGTCACTCCCTCACACAGTCATCTTACATCGGAAAGACCACAACACTAAAGGTTTAGCAATAAACCGACAACTCTAGCTGTGCTTCTGTAGTGCGTTTGGGTTTGGCACCACAGCCAAAACAACAAAACAATTCTTTAAGTGGTTAAGAGATCGTCAGAGTGGGGGAAAAAAATACAGCAATGTTTTCCTGTATGTGGCACTTTTATCTGACAGCATTTACTTGCTTTAATGTGTAAGAGTATACGTGTAAACTGAAATATTTAAGTTCAACAGAATACTCTGTTAGCGTCTTTAACTTTGGGGATATTTTAAGTATCTCTCTCAATTCATTATCTGTTTTCATCATCTATTATTTGACATCTCTATTTGTACTGCATGTATGCCACAGATACAGATATTTATTCCAAATGACTTTGCAAAAAGATGGCAAAACATAGAATAAATCTGAGAGATGACAATGACAAATGTAACGAGCAGTACTCTCGAAATATCTTACATTGGAATAAGTCTGGATCTTTATGGGTTAAATGTGGTATTTTACACATCCTGAGATCAAAACTAGTAATAAAACTGACTGTTTTTAAACAGATTTTTATATTTATGGAGTGTGAATTGAGGTGGGCCAATTATTTGGCGTCATGTAGACAGAAAAATGACCTTCTCTTAACCACCTCCCCTGCAATTTTCACGTTTGACAAAAGCCGAGAGAAAAACCGGTCTGGAAGATTGATGACGTGGAGTGTCTATAGAATAAAAACACTTCCTACAACCAAAGCCCGAAATCAGCCTAATGCAGGATTGCAAGCTGCTCATTTGACTGTGAAGCCTGACTAACTGTGTGATGTGGTTTGCTCTGCTTACCGCGCTGACTTTAAGTGTGAGCACAGCATCCGTCATCTGCCAATAAAAGGGATTATTTTGGAGGTTTGACCCAGTTAATGACTGGTAAGGTTCTCCCGACTTCCTACATAGTGTGACAGTTCATCAGATCAACGACACCGTTAATGACTGAAACCAGATCTCTGCTCCAGTAAATTGTCATGTTGCCACCGTCCAACAACATGCAATTTGGGATTTTCATCCAGTCGTCCCTGCAACTTCCTTCCAAAAGTCGCCTACTGGTGTTAATTTTTGCTAGTGTAAAGACACGTTTAGGACTTTATTAAAACTGAGCATCATCTCTAAGCAGCAGTATCCATAACAGTCACTTTAGGTACGTTTGAGTCATTCTAAGCAAGAGTAGATTCGATAGGAATTTTAAACTAGAATCAAATTGTTGTATTATAACTTTGGGCTATTAAGTGAAAATCATTCTTTTGACACATTAGATAAGGAGGTTTGAAACTCATATTCAAACCTCAAAAATTAAGGTGTAAAATGAGTTTTTCCACTTAGATGAATAATCTTTTTGCTCTTCATTTCAAGGAAAACAGACGGTGATCGCGAGGGGTTAGGGGAGTGATGCAATCACGTGTTTTGTTGGCAGCCCTGCCCGCACTGAAGTTCAAAGAGACTCACGTGGGACGGTGACAGTAAAAGACAAAGTCAGGCAGAGCCGCATGCAATTTTCATCACTTACGAAACAGCTTTATGACTTCAAACTGTCAGAAGTCGTTTGTTGATCTTACTTGATAAGAGCCGTGTTGTGCTGCTCGTCCCTTTGAGGAGCGTTGATGGACTGAGGACATGAAGGGGTGGAGGAAGATGGAGGAAGAGTGGAGGACCGCAGGGAAGGAGGGAGAACAGAGGAGGGAGGCGTGTGGTTCAGGGGCCCCTTGCCATTTCGAAGAAGACGAAGGGACCGGGCCCGGACGTGGTGAATGATGCTGTGGTTGCTACGACGATGAGCCACCTTCGCCGAGGGCCCTGCACCTGGTCTTTTGAGGGTTTGTTCACATCTGGAAACAGAATCAGAAAGAGCTGTGTTAAGTTTGGACCCTGAATGCCCTTAAATCCAGAGCACGCGCACATCAAAATCCTCATATCAAACCTAAGAACTACACAAAGACAGCTGAACCAGCAGGGCAGATCAATCAGAACACAACATTTATCGTTTTTTCATAAATTATGACTATCAATGCACGGCTGAAACGCTAAAGCACTTCCCACAACTCCCATTGTTCTGAGATGCTCTTTATCTGGGGGTGCCACGTGAAGTAGCTGCTCATTAAAGAGAAGGCAGGTTCTCAGTGAAGCCCAAGAGGGAATGAACGTGCACACATCTACCATGTTTCATGTCGTGAACAGTTGGCAGGAATTCAGCTGCAGCACAGACAATATGGAGCTCTATAGAAGTCATTTCTACACACAATTTAGTCAAGAAACAAAAAAAGCAAGACCTGACCAAGTCACCAAGCTGTTGGACATATCATGTAAAACTACTTTACATCTGATCTCATTTTAAAACCTGCCTGCCTTTAATGCAAAGATCTGATGTTTGTGAGCCTTTGGTACATTTGGGGACATAAAGATAAGACAGAAAAAAACAATCTGAGCGAACGTGAAGCGATCTTGTCCAAAATCTGAAACGCCTGCGTATAGGTCTATAACATGACGCGTGAAGTTCTGGTGAAACAATGCCCAGAAGGCTTAGGGCACACAGGGCATCGCTTAGAGAGGATTCAGGGTCCTGACCTGAAGATAAAAAGCATCTACTGCCTAGGAGTCAGAAAACAGAGTGCATGTCAACCTGTTGAGACAAGCAGCAAAGAAAGGGGAAATTCTGAGACCTGAACGCCATGTAGGAAAACAGAGCATTCCTTCTATTGTTAGAAAGTACGTTCTTTTCTGTTTTGTCTACCAGTTCCCCAACAAATTCAACATGTCTGACAATAACTCTGAGGACTGTCCTGTGAGGAACAGAAAAGACAGCGAGCCACCATGTTCAGATATGTGACACAGTCATGGTATGATGTCAAGTGGCTGTGATATTCAAGTACTGTGACCTTTACCCTCACTTAACCCACAAAAGGTCCCACGTCTCTAATCTGTGACCCGCCCACCCCCTCCTCCCCCCACGGCTGAACTAGATATGATCTCAATCTGTCCTGACCAAGCTTACGAATGTTGTGCAACTGATAAAACATCTCGGATCTTACAATAAATCCAGAGTTTGCGCCCGCATGGTTTCAACCGTAGTTTACATAGCTGGAGATCTTTTAGCTGAATCGCTTCTGTTGGCCAGAACATCCACGTTTTGCACGTGTTCTGGCTTTTACCAACCACACAGCACCGTGCACACCGTGAACCCGTGCGCTAAATAAGACGCCACGCTGACGGAGGCCTTATATAACGTGCAACTGTTTTTTTTGTTTTAAAAAAGTAGATCACTTTAACTATGAACACGCACACCCAGTTATCACCGCTAACATCCAGAGCTACCGAGATAGGTCTCAAAGCTTTAACTGACTAAAATATGCTTATTAAAAAAAAAGGAAAGAAAGGCTGGATGCATTAGATATTTATGACTTCCTCTTCTGATGAATCCGTGGCTTCGCAGAGGCTAAATTATACAATGAGCTCAAACAAGGGAGCTGCAAACCATTTTCACATGCCATTCCAGCACAAAACCAGAACGGCACATCAAATGTTAAAAATATGTTGACGTTGTCCTCATTTATTCCATCGTTTTCCATTCTTTTATGGTGTTGGCTATAAAAACAGACTTTAGAGTTCAAACTGACCACAAAACCAACCCTTTTCACCCAAAATCAGGAGTAAATGAAGGTGTATTCACTTGACTTTATAGGACTGTTCTTATTATCAGATTTTAAAGAGCAAGGTTCAAACACCTGCCACAAAGCCTTTCCAGTGCCATCCTTAACTGATTTTCTGCTCAATTACAGTAATCCTTTGGCTGACCCCTGATGGCCCACAGCCTACTTCCAACGACCCGAACAGCTCCACACAAAGAGCAAAGCTGTGAGGAATGACAAGTATGCTCCAGACATGCGCACGTGCATGCATACGCGTGTAGGGAGCGCACACACAAACACGAGCCCCACGCACCACAGTGACAGCCAGTTGTCGTCAGCAGTGTGCAGACTGGAGAGGGGGGAAAAAAAAAAAAAAAAAGCAACATTACAATGAGAGGATTAGAAAAGTATTGTGAAATTCTAAATGCGGCTGGAAAATGACCTGGTTTTTATCACAAAGAAACAAAAGCCTCAGACTTTGTGGAGTAGTAGAAATGTGAAGCACCAGACGAGGGGAGCAAGTTTCAGAGGAGAAGGAGACGGCCCGTTAAGGTGGACTTAAAGGTACAGTGTCCAACTTAGGCCAGATGTGAGGACGTTTTCCACTCTGTGTGCCATTTATAGAGGAATAACTCTGGAAAGGGGGGAGGGCTTTTCAGCCGCGTGGTTCCAAAGTGTAGCTTCAACAACACACTCACCTCATACACAAATGAGAAGCAGACAGTGGGAGACAGCGCGTCAGATGTTGAAATACGACAGTGCTAAGCGTCTCGGGCACACAGCAGCAGACTGATAATCAGCAGCTCGCTGACTGACAACAGCTCTGAGGACAAAATCATAACTCAGGAAGGAATTCACGACTGTAAATTACAAAGGCCATCCAAAGTCCACAAGCAGCTGAGGAGAAGCTATTCAAAAACGGTGGAAATCAAAGACCCAGATACTTATGGGACCATAAAATAAAAAAGGTGATGATTCAAATGAAAGAGGCTGTCGTGAATTATTGCTGCTCTCTGGAAGGAGGACAATCCTTCAGAATTTATTATGACTTCCCAAAAGATTTGAGGTGGTTTTGCTATTAATCGCATTCAGAGTGCACTCGGTGCTGTTCTTTACACAATACAGAGGAAAAAGAACAAGTGTCCTCAGATTGGCACCACAAGGCTCAGAATGACTAAGTATCTGAGCAGTGTCTCGTCCCTCCTCGGGGCAGCTTGGGCCACATCGATATCCGGTGTGTCGTGTCCGGCTTGTGCCGTTTGACCTGTCCTCACCTCTCAGGTTTCCCACAGCCGGCTGCTCCTCTGACGGGGACGGCTCCCTGAGCCCCGGGCGGAGGGACTCCACCTTTCTGCTGGCCTCTGGACTTCACCTCAAAAAGGAGAAACGTGGAAAGTGAATGGGTGAGGAAAAGGTTCAGAGATGGGTCTCAGGTTGAACATAATCCGATTACAGAGTGTGTGATTACAATGTATCAACAAGACACCTAGAAGATTTTCATCACAAAGCTTGATCATCGGAGCTCCAGAAATTTGTAAAGGTAACAATACGAAAGAAGTCTAACGAAAAATGTGTCAGGACCTAAATAATTTGGCCATTTCCATTCATTCAAAAGGCATAAATTATGTCCCAGCATAATCATTCATTCAATAACGTATCTAATTCTGAATGAAGTTGCCCTCCGTGCTGGCACAAAAAAATACCAGCAATTGAGGCAAAATGTTTAGAAAAACCCATGTTACCAAATATTATGAAAGCTCATCACAGTAATAACAGGGATAAGCTCCATTGTATCAAGTGATTTCCATCAGATGCCAAACTTCATGAGCTTTACTGCCCATACTGGCTTAGGAAGAAGGATTTAGCAACTAAATGGAGCCGTTGAAACTCTGGCTGCCTGACACTTGGTGCTTTGTTTGGGGCTTTAGGACTTGTGGCTATAAGAGGGTCATGATCATTTTGAGAGCTAAGGAAACCTCTTGATTAGGGGACTTTGCGAGTCTGCAGAGAGCAGATCTTTCAGGGAACACTGGCCGAGGTATATAAATATATAGACGTCTTAAAGGGTTTAAGACATCTATATAAAATCACTGTAAACAAGGAAGGAGACAAAGTTTCCTTGTAAACCTTCTCATTTTGCCCCATTCTGAGGTTAAATCAACTGCAATTAGAGAGAGCAGCTAAATGGTTTAGCAGGAACACTGGACATGGTGGGGTCAAAAGTGAAGACTCCTTTTCATTATTTTACATTGATTAATTTAGAAACTGATAGATTTTGCTCTATAATCTATTCTGAAATGAATGCGTAAGAAAATGACATTTTCGGGCTACGGCTGTGCTGGACGACTTCTTTGTTTAAGCAGTGACTTCCCCAAGTCTGGACTTGTTCCTTTTTGAGCTGAGGGTAATGACATCAGTAAAACTCCAAGAAAATGAATAAGTCAGGGTACTTTCACTCAGTAAATTCAGTTTGCATCTTATTTAGATTACATAACAGATCAACAACAGGAAGACTTGTATTGTTATTTTGCAATTATAGTGGGATAAATGTAAGGGCAACTAATGAGATGTCCAAAAACCCTGGGAATAGGAATTTATAGGGGAGATATCACCTGCTGGGAAAATACTGTACCTGAGCGTGAGGTAATGAAGCTGAGGTCCGACTCCTGAATCCACATCCAGGACTTCGCTGTCTGGGTGCCGTCTCTGGTTGTGAACTCTTCTCTTGGGCATTCTGACGCCCACTGGGGTCCAGGAAGTACCTCTGTGCCATTCGCACCACCCGGGTCAACAGGCTTAGAGGCCCTGGGGCAGAGGCTGCAGGTTCAGAAAATATCCACTTTACTTTGGAGTTACGGTACTTCTATGCATTTCTTTCCTCCACTAACAAAAGGTCAACACAATGGATTGTGTATGAAGGCATGTAGAAAATTACATGATCGCATTATAAACATTTGACCATTTAAACAACATCTGTGGCCGAAGCATCACCGAGCCAATCCGGGGAACAAAACTGGGGTGACGCAGCTCTCGGAGTGATCGTTTTCTGAAAATAAGTTATCATTCCACTACAGGCCTCCCCCTCCTGTAACGGCTTTGTGTGTGCCCTGTGTGTACTTTGGTGTGTGAATGTGTCCTTGTTATACACAAATGAATGTTATCAGTGGCTCACCATATTGACTCAGGGGGCAGAATCTGTCTGTTTAGGCAAGCTGTGAACACAAAGACTTTCTTGTACATTGTACTGTCCGTGTTTGTGTGCAAGCACGCTCATGCATGCAATCAGTCATGGACTCTGCAGCCAGCTCTCCTGTTCAGAAAGCATGCAATTAAAGGTGCCAGGGCTTTTTTTACAATTTTTTCTTACAATGCAGTGTTGGAAACAGAAGCTGATATGATCAATCATCTTAAAAGGGCAAACAAAACAAAACAAAAATAAATGAACAAATAAAAACACTGAAATCTAGCCCTGATAGAGCTATGTTTTGTCAGGCTGCTTATTTTAAGATAACAAGCGGCTTGAGACGTAAGTGTGTCTTTGTCTTACATTGGAAGTACAACATTTTTAACTCTGATCCTAGTTTAAGTCCAGAAGAATTTTCCATTTTCCGGAACATCCATCCATCCACCCATTATCGTAACTGCTTATTCCCTAATGGAGTTGTGGATTTTCCGGAATAAATACAGAATAATAATATGATCAGATAACATCCTTTAAACAGTCCTATGAAACAGAAAAGTCCAGAAACAGGTTTTGGACCGCCAGTTTAAGTAAAGTAGGTGAAAACACTGGATAACGGTGAACTTGATGCTCTGGTGGAGGCCTGATGTTAAAGATCCTCCTCAGAGGCTGCTGGTTGTGGCAGTCTGATAAGCATTTCCCACATTAGCATTGATTTGTCCCCACTTGGCTTTGCAGATAAAACATTAGCAGGACTGTTTTGTTGCAAACTTATCATTAACGGGCACCATCAAACAGGCTTGTGCCTGTCAGCGTCTTCATGCCTCCTGAAGCGACTGAGTATTGAGTGGATCTACCTCCTGTTCTCATGTTAGCAGAGAACATTCAGGCAAAGAAATATGGATGCTCCAGGTCGAGGCCAGCTGCAGATGGTGATGACTTGCGTAATTCAGTAGCCGTGAGTCTACAATAAGGGGCCATAAAACACACACTTACTCTTTTCAGCTTCACACGATGATAGATTTTCTCTCTCTTTTTCTGGTCCGACCCGACTGGACAACGTGGCCTTTTGTTTCTCCGACTGTTCTGTAACACATCACATTTTAATTACGGGTTAGCGCCCGAAAACCTTAACTTTAAAAACAAAAGAGGCTCAGAGTCTATCTGAAGACGTTCAGTTAGTGTCGTCCATCCAAAAGTAGAGCCGACAGTAATGAAAATATAGAAGTCATGTGGACAGATCGCTGTCCATAGGAAGGGGATTTATTAGTCATTAACAGTTGGGAGTCGCATGGGAATCAACTGATTATGACCTGAATTCCATGTGTCACACTTTCGGTTGCTGACACCTCTTTGAAGGAGGCCTGGAGGGCTTGTGAGATCATATGAAAACACACAGCTTGCTGCAGGACTTCCTCTCAGTGAGGCAAGTACACGCAGAACTGGGAAATCCCACATTCATAAAGCGGAGGTTTGGAGTTTGGCAGGTAAGTGCAGACTTTGGGAGGGCATCAGCAGAGGTTCAGACTTCACAAATACAGCCTTCCCAAAAGTTAGGAGCTCAAAGAGAATGTAAGAAACGTTATGGAATCATTTACAAATCTTGAAGACCAGCAGTCTACTCAAAGTACCACACAGAAAACATAGCGGATGTTGAAAGCGAGACATTGTAATATCGGAATAGGAAATATGAATTTATTGGCAACAACAAAAGGCTGGAAACGTGAGTTGTGCTAATAGAGGCAGCCAGAGGACGTCAAAACCAAGAAGGTCACCTGACAGCAGGTCAATAGCATGATTGGCTATTAAAAAGACAAAAAAAAAAAAGAATAAAAGAGCACATTAGAGAAGCAAAGTAAATGTGGGCAAGTGTAAAGCTATCCACCACAATCTGAAATGGGATCTAAAAACTGGATCTGAAATTGATCATTACAGTAGATAACATCTTTCCATGTCATCTACTGTAATGATCTATCTATTTTCTACCTTCTACTTTCCTCTCTACAAAAGTGACGGACACATTTCGGCATTCATTCTCAGACTGTCAGGCCCTCTAGGCCTGAAAACAAACATTTCTGTCCCATAAATCACTGCGGGAGCTCAGGCAGAGTTCCCAAATCAGTCTGAACAAAGCTGCATGTCTCAGAAAGACAATGATGGATCGTGCACATCAAACACACCGACATGGCCTCTCAGTGGAAGCATCTGGATACTTGACTAACCAGCTTAAACATCTGGCATGCCATGAAAGACTAACTCCTTTTTTTTTTACTTCACCTGCAGCTGCCTCGTTCCTCACAACGGGGCCTAAGCGGAGCTGACATGCGTGTCTGGGTGAGGGCTTGTACGCCGTGGGGGGGCCGAGGTAATGCAGGCTTCTAATTTGTAAGAGAGCGTATCAGTGACTCAGCACAAGCTTCAGGGATGAGGTATTCTGCCTAACAGGAAGAGCCCGTGATAAAGTGCTGGAACCACTAATGCGAGGCTTCTGCAGAATCCTGACCCGGGCTATCTTTGATGTTAAAACAACTCAGTTTCCCAGACACACCCCCCCCCCCCCCTGCCCTTATAGCCCGTGGCCCTCTCCTTCTGCATCACGTCTCTTTTCCCATCCCTCCCTCCCTCCGATCCATCTCTATCACTGTCAGACATCAGTTGGAGAGAGGTCCCCCCTTCATGACCAATTTCAAAACAGCGATGTGTCACAGCAGGTCCCAGGACCTGCACCACAAATAGATGAAGCTTTAGCTTCGCCACTGTCGGAAAAAGTTCAGGGGGGGAGAAATTATTCTAGCACTGTGGATATGTTGAACCCTGATCTATCAACTCCTTTCAGAGTTTGAGGACCAAAACCGCAGCAAAGTCCTGTTTTATAACCATTCAATAGCTGGTTCCCTGTCCTCAGTTTGGAAATGTTTGGTTAGTACTTTGTGGTGTTCTAATTAGTGCAGCAAACTCATGGACATCAACACTTTCCTTTGAAAGAATACGCCCAGCTATGATGACAGTGGCCTCACAGCTGTAACAGCAAACTAAAAACACAATAAAAACATCACAGACACACCAACTGATTTCTTTTTCTGTGCGTGCACATTTTCATGCAGCACATAAAAAAAACGGCTGCGGTCGGACCAACGCCGGTGAGCTCACCTGCCCAGCTCCAGTGTGACTCAGCGGTGTAATGAGTGGGCTGAAACGGCTGTGTGAGTGTGTTCCAGTGATTTATTGCTGAAGCTAAATCCTGTGCAGGCGTTTCTCCCCTCCCAGAGCTGCCACCCACCAGTTAGACATTGATTTTCACACAGCCTGAGGAAGAAAACTGACCAGAACGCAAGTCACATTTTGTATCGGGGGAGAGCTCATTTGATCATATCAACATTACCCACCGGTGGAACTCTATATGTTATTTCTCCTGAGGAGGATCTAATCTTGACACATATTTGGGAACAAGTTCACTTACACCTTGGAAGGGGAAATTTGATGACAGTACCAGCACAGGTTCAGTTCTTAGGCTATTTGGCCCGTCTTACAATGCTCCGGGGTGACATCTCAGGAAAAAAAAGCCCCTGTTGTTGGTATGAAGAAATCTAAGAAGATGCTGTAATAACAATGGGTATGACTGCACTGATATATAGAAAGTGGAAAAATCAAACACTGTGCGACTAAAAACCCGTTTTAAAACTAATACCAGGTGCAGTTTAAGAGATATTTATAAAGTAGCCTGTCCAATAAGGAGGATAGCAGCTCTCAGGAACCTTAAATTTAGTCACAATGTGTAGCATGCCTGAAATCTGCATTTTAGGAGTATGTCAGTCCTCTGGCACAAACTTCTGCTAACCACAGTGCATCAAATATGATGCAACTTCTCTTATTGTCGACTTCTGTGTACATGTGAGATAAAACAAACAGGAGGACGCCAGATGGCTTTCCACTGTGAAGGAAAATCAAAGCATTTAGGGGTCACTGGATGGGGATTAGAGTGTTTTCTTACCTGTGTAATTATCATACATTACATCCTAATGTGAAGCTAAACAGGGCTCAGTCCTTTTTTTTTTCCCTTCTCTGCTCTTGGTCGTAGATTATCACCATGATATTCTGAGGTGTTTGAAAATGGCAACAAGTCACAGCAACACAACCTTATGCAAGCTTACAAACCAATGGACACTGGCTCAGAATCAAAGAATTCCCCTTCAAATCTTTGATCAAATCTTGGATTCTGCTCAGTCACTGTAACGCGGCCAACCAGGTCTTTAATTGTTGTTTCCGTGCACACACGCTGAGCTCTTTAAGCACAGCTTTTCGGGTCGCACTAAAGTGGAACACAACCGATAAAAACAGAGTCACTGCTGTATTCATCCAAACTATTACAGGTAGCCAAATATCTGAAAATAACAAGATAATCATGGCTTTTTAAATCCTCTTCAGAGCAACATATCACACCATTACATCCACGCTGACAGAGAGGAGTTTGTGGAAAGTCAGGACCACTCTCTTCAGACAGCTGAAATTAAACACTTGTTTCCCATTTGATTCCAACAGAATTGAAAACAAGCTAGCAAAGCTATCTTAATGGCCATCACAGACTATTCAATAACAATAGCTAGGTGTAAAAGGGGCAGAGAACTGAGTCTATTTCATTCCAACCTGTAATTACAGATATAAATATGGCTCTGTTTTTAGTAATCCAGCATTCAAAGCTAGAAAGTATACGAAAAAGAGACAAACAACTACATGACATAGCAAAGGATGCGGGACCTAGCTGCTAAAGAAACAGTCCAAACCTGGACTAACACAGAACAGAAGCTGTTCTGCCTGGGGCGCTCAGCTCTGGGATTTCTCTATGACTCAGGGATATAATGAGAAGGCATGAATGACAGTGTGTGTTTTTCTGCCCACTCTCTCTCTCCCTCCCTCAAAGTCAGTTTCGGATGACAGAGCGCTCTGCTGATTCCTCAGCGTCCGAGAATTAATGCTGATGACTCACGGCCTTTTGAAGGTTGCGTTTTGGAGCGTTCGGAGCGCGGGGGCGTCCTCTGGGAGTTGGCGGGGCAGCACACCTGTGGCTGGAACTGAATAAGCTCTAATGTAAGCCCGGGGTCAGCAGATCCTGTAGCCCGGGAGATCACTGACACCGCTCGACAGCGGCTTTGAACTGCTGATCGTTCGCAGAGAGAGGAAAAACGGGATGAGGAGTGGAAATCTGTGAAGGGAGGAGAAACGCAGAGCCCAACATTTTCTGTTCTTACTTATCCGACACAGAGCTAAATGACAAACTGGGACGGATCTGATTCAGATGTTTGTAAATGCTGATATAAAGCGGCTCAATGCGACAGGTATGAAAATAGGAGAGAAAGAAAAGGCAAGTCAGCCAACAGTTCAGCATAATGATGTCACCTGAGGTCACATGACAGACTACAAAGTGAGTCTTTCATCCGTTTCACAGATCAGAAGGCTTCAGGGTCCGTCCTCAAGGTGTGAGCTCAAACAGACTGGAAGATCTGCCTCGCAAATAAAAGAAAGTCCCATTTAGCTGTAGTAAAGAGGCACAGCTACATCATCTGCTCTGTGTGAGGTGTGACTGGGATCGAAATTTCCAAAGATACAACAAAGTGTTGGAGGATTATTGTGGCTCACATCACAGAAAACTGCTTAACGTACAGCAAATATTACCGACATTTCTTATTGAAATACTAAATCAGGCATATGTCTGAAATCTGTGAATCCAAAGTCTTTGTGATACAATGTTTCTGTGTAGTTTCTGAAAAGGTTCAGACTCAAGAAGAAGACATAACTGTATGCCCGATCATAGAGACGATGCCTTTTACTGGAAGATTGAGGCCAGTGTTTAAGATTCCATCTAAAAGCCTTGCAGACAAGATGAATTGGACTGATTCAGATGAAAGAGTCATCAACTGATCAACATCATTATCATCAAGCACCTGATTAGTCACACCTTGAACAATAATACCTTAATACACTGATAACACAAAGGGAGAAAAGAAAACTGTGAGCGTTCCCTACTGTCAGGCTGAGTTTCCTATTATAGACGACAGCTAATCACTACCTTCATTTGTAATATTATTAATTATAACGTCAAATAATGTTAAAAAGAGATTGCAATTACACTTTTAACTTAATCAAAAAATATTTTAAAAAACCTTTATTGAAAAGGGGCTAAAGCATTCATGGACTTATGCCACAGGGACCTGGTTTTTAAAGTGTGCTGGTCATGACTCAGCCTCCGGCCATTCCATCCCCACAAAGTGTTTGGTCAGACAACACGGACAGTTCAGACCTCCACTACTACTGGATTACACAAGAGACAAGAGTGAAAGGTGAGAGAAAAGGAGGAGATGGGCAGGAAGGAAGGAAGCAGGTCGGATAAGAGAAACGGGGGACCTTGGCAGAATATCCTGATGTTTTTTTTTTCTATGCAATGATAAGCTGACCGCATGACAAAATACTGATTAGGGGGCCGGCCTGTTTTCTCAGAGAAGCAACAGAATTAATACATTTCTTAATGCTTGCATAGTCAAGCAACAGAACTGATCGATTCTGTCCATTAGATTTAGATCCAACAGGAAGAGTTTCAACAGTTCACATCTGGAGTAGAGACAGAATACCAAAAGAAACGATATTGCACACACAATGCTAAAAACACGATTTTTCTTCCACAAACTGCGGGTGAGTGAGGATCTGTGGTAAGAGTCCCTTTTACAAGCTGGCAGTTTGGCCATTTATAATTTAAAATGTTACTTTTTTTAAGGTTAGGGTTAGGTAAAGAGACATCTTTAACAAAAAGGTACAACAACAACAACTAAAATACTGAAGTAGTAGCCAGGGCTCAGAAAAGCTGTTATCAATTTATAATCTGACTCTGCCTGAGTGGATGGCTCTCTTCCATTAAAGATGACTCATGGACTTTAAGATATATTGAATATAAAATGGAAAATAACCACAGAAATAGCGAAAGGACATATGGAAACAGTGATCTGACTTATTAGCAGCACTTATGAGCTTTAAATCAAATATTTGAAATTTGAAAAGACGGGGAAAAATGCCATAGTTTTATAATCTAATTTAGTTTTTTTTAGGTTAATCAATGTTGACATTGTGCTCATATGTTTCTGTTATGAGTTTCAGTAGCTCTGGGAGGGAGGGGGCTGTACTCCAGGAGAGGTTCATGTATGTGGAGCTAGATTACTGAACAAAGGCATTTGTTTGGAAAAGCTCCAACCACAGTAAGTGCCAACAGATGAAGGCTTGAAGTGTAGGCACACTGAGTTTATCTGGCAGCCTCATCTGCAGCATCAAAGTTGTTTACAGCTCGCAGCCCTCAGCAGCGCTAGAAAAGGGGCAGTGGAATAGAGACTGAACACTCACTGCTCCAAAAAAACAGGGAGGAAAAAAAATGAATTTTTACGAAATAAATCACATTATGCGTTAAACCTTTAACGCAGAATTAGGCTGGGAAGCTGCAGAACATAATACCATGACCTGAAACATACTGACTGGGTTATTTAGTGAGGCAGAAAGGAGCAGGCAAACAGAGGGAATCACGAAGGCGAATGAAAACAGATAAGTCTAAGATTATGAATGAGAAGGGGGGGGGATTTCCGTGGGGCATTGATGGTCCATTTAGGGATTTGAAATGGAAAAAGCTCAGTCTGTTACTGCACCTTTTGGGCTTTTCTGTACATGGTGCTTTTGCTCCTAATGCTGTCTGAATGCTTCAGGCCAGTCACACGGGCACAGCATCCATACGGAGTATGAGACAGTTTCTTTTGTTCCAGCCCTGGAAATGTTTGTTTTAGTCACCTACAGCTTTCAGGCCGAACCGTCATGTCTCTAGTGAGGGAGCGTTTCCATGCAGTCGCGTGTTTACACGAGACCAAAATAAGGAAGAATTATCATCGAGTCAAAGGACAGTAGCAGGCCGACAGATGGAGGAAAGCAGATAAAGACGCTAAAGAAACAAAGCATTCAGCTCAGTCCGCTCCAGAAGGGATGGAAACAAGAGGTGTGCAGGTACCACACACACACACCCACACACATACACAAAAAACACACACACACACACAGAAACAACCTGGTTCTGTCCAAAAAAAATGGTTGATCTGGACCTGCTCAGACAGCCCAACTTCACATCTAATTCCATTTACTCTCCAGTAAACGTATTATAATTATTTCAGTCCGTCTACCTATAAAGCATCTTCAAATTTACAGCATCAGATCAAACTATGCAAATCATCACAGTGTGAAAAGGGGCCCGTTCTTCATTTGGGATGGATCAGGTACGGATCCCCTTCTGCTCCACAGCCATGCCGCTGTGATGTGTGCAGGATGTTGTTTTTACACCGTTTTCCTGAAGCCGTGTGGAAAAAGCTGCTAAAGATGTCATCAAGGAGGAATGATCTTCTTTACAATAAAAAAGTACAACAATGAGCTAAAAAGAATACTTTTCTGTTGCGTTTTCAGTACTGGAGATGACTGGAAGATGGCGTGTATTAGTAAAGGTGAGGAACCTTAGAGGAAGAGTGGCCAGAGGGGGAATGACCCCATGGCCTTTGCCGGGAGCAGCCCATTTTCACCATCAAAACACAAAACACACGACAAAGACACGGCTCAACAAATGCCACTCTGTAGAGCGGAGCTGAACTTAAATGTAGCTCAATTTAAAAAAAAAAAAAAAAGACACAAAACAAAGGTTTGACTGGTTAGTTTCAAACAGCCATTTGGAAAAACACAGGAAAATAAATTAAATCAACGCAAAATCCTTTTTTTGTTTCGTCTAAATAGCAACTGTTTCATCATCATCTAAATGAACAGTGAAATCATAGAAAACGGGTCCCTTTCAAGTCAAATATAGCAAAATGAGTAAATAATGAGTAAAGTATCTCAGGATTAATCTAAGAAGGGAGGCTTAAGAGACATTAAGAGAAAATCGGGTCTGAAAGTGTGGAATTCCCTTTTTGACGACTGCTGACTTGAATTCAAAAGCCTTTCGTAATATGTAATCCAGCCTTTTGATCATCGCTGCAGAAAAGCACTCAATCATCACTTTAAGAATTCAAAAGTATTCAGTTCTAACTGTTTGCATTTCCTTGTTTTCACACAACCCCTTCAGAGCAGACAAAAGAACTCTGGCCAAACACTTACTCCCACTCTCGTGTGTGTAACAACAGTCTGGCTTAGTTAGGAACCCAGAGGGATCAAGCCCTCATCTCAGAGACGACATGGCCTTTGGAATCAAAAGCAGGTGAATTATGCTCCCGGTTTGTGTTTTGTGTGTCGCTTGCTGCTGGAGTGAAGCTGGCAGACAGGAGAAGCTCAGAGTAACGCGGCATTAAACTGTGGATGGAAATACAGGCAGCCGTAAATGCGTTTCTGAAACCCCACAGGGGCCTGCTCGTGCACATCTTCAGTCATCTTTGTGCACCAAGCTCAAACAAATTCAACATTTGTTGGCTTAGGAGTCTGAGAGGCTTTAGACGGAAAGAATAAAATAAGATTACAGCTCACCGAAAATCTGCGAGAGGTTAAATGTTCGATTTTCCATCATTGTGAATGCGTTTAAAATTCCTCCCATTTCCTGTTTCTGTTGTTTAAAGCAGAGAATAAATATCCAATTTCAGATATATATATGGGGTTAACCCTAACCAGTGATACATTTATATCATTACATTATGAGATGAGTCAATAGTTTTGTGACTTGGATGATAAAAACATAAAGAAGTTACACATCTTAATGCAGCTTTTCTCCGTTCCTCCGTTTCTAAAAAGGCCACAGCAGCCAAACCAGTTTTTATTAAAGAATTCTGAGGCTGATTTTTATAGATTAGTGTCCTTTTCCTGCTCAGTCAGAGAAAATGTTAACAATATTAGCAGAGATATAGAAAAGGATCCATTACTAGCCCATCGGTGGGCTAGTAATGGATGCAAAACAGCAGAAATCTAGAAAAAACTAAATATTGCCCTGAAATAGGTAGAGAGGAAAAAAGAAAGAAGTCCAAAGCGGCTTGGTGACCTCTGACCCCCTCTGAATTGTGGGGCATTGTTACCACAGTGTTGCCAGTAATCACACATAAGGAGAGCAGAAATACAACGTATTCCAGAACAGGTGAAAAAAAGATTATAATTATCCCCTAAATCACTTAAAATGAACCGTTATGACAATCCTTCAACAATGTGGCACTTCCC